TTGTTCGTCTGTGCGCTCTCAGGTCTTTGTACTGTTTGTATCAAAGGAAATAACAGAATCGTACTTCGAAGCTTTTCCCTATTGTGTAGCAGTTACTGCACAGATCTGATCAGTTCCGAATCAATACGTGACCTGGTTTGTTCTAAGCTCTCGGTTCTGGTAATCCGTAGGCGTTAGGGTGAGTTAACCCCGGCAGCGCTGCAGCAGGACCGACCCAGCGCTGCCCGGGCTCTGCCCCGGGATCCCCCTCAGCCTGGGGAAGGAGCGCCCGACTCTTCACACGCACCGGCATGTTTTGCCGCTTCCAGGGTTGGGTTTCTGTCTGTCTCTCTCTTTTTTTTTTTTATTAAGGTCAGCTGGGCGCACATGGTATGCACTTGACATTTCCACCCAGCTGGGCGATGGGTTATTCCAGTTCATGGGCTGTGCTGGGTGGAGAGAAGTGTGGGCTCAGCCCGCGCCGGCCAATCCACCCGAGCTGACGCTGCGCAAGGCGCTGGGGTTTGTCACTCGCCTGGTTGAGCAAGAGTCATCATCCTGCCAGCTCTGCCCGGCCTCTCGGGAAGCGATAAGATGAAGCGACCCTGGAACTGGGTAGCTTGGTTGTGTCCTTCTTACGGTTAGAAGAAGGGAGGGGTAATGGCAGTGGGAAGGCAGAACCAGCAATTTAAATTTAATTTAGAGGTCCCAGAAGAGTCAGTGTGTTGCACCAGTATCAACCAGTTGATTTTGAGCAAAATGACTGGCTTTGTAGTTGGTTCAGCTTTAAAGAGTATACTCCCTTTGCAAAGGTATAGCTTGTCTCCAGTTTTCATAGGGTGGTGGGTTTTTTTGAATTACAAGTGGAAGTAGGCTACCAGGAAATGAAATCAAAACTGTCTGAGTTTATTTCTTGGTACATTATTTGTGGATTTTTTAATTGTGTTTTCAACTGAGAGGATGATGTGTGTAAAGGCAAGAAACACAAAAAGAGACATGTTACAGGGTAACTTAAGTAAATAGTAATGCCGGTTGCAGGAGGGCTGAGGCTGAGCACAGTCAGCAGCCCCAGGAATGGGTCCGGAGGGGCAGAGCTGGCTGGCGAGGGGGGGTTAGCTGCATGGTTACTGTGTGCAGGCAGGCTCTGTCTTTGTGGCAGTTTTAATGTGCTCTGAGTAGGGCCTGGAGACACCCCCCCACCCTCCCCAGGCGTTTGTGCACACACAAGAAAATCGGACTGTTGGGACTGTACAAGACACATAGAAAAAAAAAATCTGTTCGCTTTTGTTTCTGCTTCGCTAGTCTTTCTGCTCGGGGCTCTCTCCAGGGTGTGAGACAGGTAGGTGCAGGGATCTGTCACGCAGCAGAAAATGCACGCTCATGTGAAAAAAAACACCTGAGCAAGCAGTGACTTGTAAATCTTTGCAAATTTTTTTTTTTGTTCTGGACGTGGTAGCATTGTGTAGTTTAAACATAAATCTACTGTTCAGACCATTTAGTTAATACTTTCGAAATAAAATAATGAGATACTTTAGCTCCAGCTAAGATTCTCCTCTAAGGTCTTTTTATTTGCTTTTTGCTGCTTCCATGACACTTCTCCCTGATGTAGGAGTGCCCTGTGTTCACAGAAAAGTCTTCCTGTGCATGACACATGCTTGAGTTGTAGGTTAGCCTTTTAAACTTTGTGCTTCAATTTCAAAATTTCAAATTTAGACCTCACATCCTGAGCACAGTAGTGCCTGGATATAAGTCTTTTCTAGAGAATCGTCGCTGAGGATCTTTCTGTCCCAACATGAGCAACAGAGGAAGGTTCTCTTACTCTCAAAAGGCCTGTGATGCCATTATCTATGTATTTCTTCTTACACGATAACTTTGGGGCGTTGGACCAATGCCTCTAACTGATGATCAGAGAATTGCTTGCAGACATGTTTCAAGTCAGGGTAATTTTCGTCCCATAGGTGGAAATATAAATGACAATTCTGTGGTTAAAAATCACTTTAAAAGTCTTTTGCAAAGCAAACAAGTAAATCTTTTGGACAAGTAATCTCTGTATCTTTGAAGACTTCTTCACTGTTGAATTGCTGCTCTGGACCACCAGCGCAGTACCACAACTCAAGCTACGTAAGCTTAGTCTGTGCTGGGAGCTGTGGTGCAGGTGGAGCTGTGCAAGCTGCCTCTAACAAAGCTTTTTTAGGTGCTGGTAGTATTTTAGCTCAGTAACACTAAAGTCAAAGCAAATTGCATTTCAGAGTTACATATTCCAGTCCCTAGCTTAGCTGCTAACTCTGACTTTGGCATTTCTGTGCTTCTTTGCGACGTGGATTTACTCAAAATCTCTTTGGGCTCTTAGACATATTTTTTGGACTCTGCTCATGTTTGTCCATTCACTCATTCTGTTCTAGAGAGGTTCTGATGCACGTGTGATGTTAGGTATAGCAGGGTCTTAAATGAAATAATATGTTAAAGTTTCAACTCCTGCTGCTGAAGGGGCTTGCGGGTAGAAAAACAATTACATTGAGAAAAATCTGCCTTAATTTTTCACGTGTTTTGTTCATGCTATATCGTTATTACTAGCTTTTTTTTTTGTTTCCTCTAGACTTGTTATACTTTTCACGGATGAGTTGGGTCATATTTCCCACTGGAGAGCCATCATGGCAGGAAGTCTGGCTGGCATGGTTGCAACCATCGTGACTTACCCCACGGACGTAATTAAAACACGGCTCATTGTGCAGAACCGACTGGAACCGTCTTATGAAGGAATTCTTCATGCTTTTTACAAAATTTATCATCAAGAAGGATTCCTTGCACTCTATCGTGGCGTTTCACCGGCTATATTAGGTAAAATAACAATGGGGAAAATCACCTCATTGCACCTTGTTTATTACAGCTATTTAGTGCATTCGTTTGCTCACTTGATTTCAATAGCAGAGTTGAGCTCTTCTGTAGAAGTTAGGTAGATTTACATCGCACAACAATATACTGATTACCTCTGCTGCAGTTTATGCTTTGAAGTATGACCAAGCGCGTAGCGCTTTATGTGCAGTTATGTGTTCAACAAAATGCTTTTTCCCTTCTAGCTGTGCTTGGACGCAAGGTTTCCACTGTTTAACTCTTAAAAAAAAAATGCATGTGTATATATATATGCACACACAGTGTTCCTAATTCCCATCTTAGCTGTGAGAGTGTCTCCCTAGAGCTGCTCAGTGAAACCAGTATGAGCCGTAATGTACAACTGATGTGAAAAGTGAAGATTAGTGATATTTACTCTTTCTGTGATAGGACTTTCTAATTATTTGTTTACTCTCCATAGCTTTTAAAAATGCCATTTAATTTTGAGTCAGTTTTCACAATATGACATAGGAAATGCATGATAGTAATGTGTAATCCCACTATAAAATTGATGAGAGTGTGAAACGAAGCCCATGCCAGCCTCCTGAAGTTCAACAAGACCAAGTGCAAGGTCCTCCATTTGGGTCGGGGCAGTCTCAAGCACCAATACAGGCTGGACAGTGATTGACTTGAGAGGAGCCCTGAAGAAAAGGACTTGGGGGGACTGGTGGACGAGAAGCTCAACATGAGCCGTCAGTGGCACTTGCAGCCCAGAAAGCCGATCATGTCCTGGGCTGCATCAAGAGGTGCATGACCAGCAGGGCGAGGGAGGTGATTTTCCCCCTCTACTCCACTCTCATGAGACCCCACCTGGAGTGCTGCGTCCAGTTCTGGATCCCACAGCACAAGAAAGATAGGGACGCGCTGGAGGGTGTCCAGCGAATGGCCATGAGGATGATTAGAGGGCTGGAGCATCTCTCCTATGAAGACAGACTGAGAGAGTTGGGGTTGTTCAGTCTGGGGAAAAGCAGGGTCTGAGGAGCCCTTATTGTGGCCTTCCAGTACCTTAAGGGGACCTACAAGAAAGCTGGTGAGGGGCTTTTTAGGATGTCGGGTGACTAGAGGGAATGGATTAACACTGGAGATGGATCAATTCAGGTTGGACATTAGGAAGAAGTTCTTCACCATGAGGGTGGTGAGACACTGGCACAGGTTGCCCAGAGAGGTGATGGAAGACCCGTCCTTGGAAGTTTTTAATGCCAGGCTGGGTGGGACTGTGGGCAGCCTGGTCTAGTGGGAGATGTGGGGTTGAAACTAGATGGTCTTTAAGGTCCCTTCCAACCCTGACAATTCTATGATTCTTTGAAAAGAGGACAGAAGTATCCCTCATTAGCTTGATTGAAGAGGCAACTCTATTTTCTTGTACAACTGCTGGGGCTGGGCTGACCTAGAGAAAGAGCTTGTCACAGAAGAGGGAACCTGGAGAAAGTGCTGACCTGTCATGAGACTAAAGCAGTTAATAATTCTGACTATGTGCATATTTCAATATGTAAATATACGTCCCTGTCAGCACATCTCGATGCTATAATATGGGTGGCTGGTGGTAAACCAGCAACTAAAAGTAAAGTTCTTCAAAATATTACAAGATGTAAACTGACAGTAGTTCATCCCATCTTTCTAGGTTATGTGATGAGCAGCTCTGTTTTTTTGGTGTACAATGTGTTGATATAAACCTGTCTGGTTTGCTTTCTAGGTGCTGTCCCATTTTCTGCAGGGTCTTTCTTTGTTTACATCAATCTGGACAAAATCTGGCGGGAACCCATAGTTCATTTCACTCCTCTTCAGAACTTCATAAATGGCTGTGTAGCAGCTGCTGTGGCACAGACACTTTCTTTCCCCTTTGAGACTGTCAAGAGGAAGATGCAGGTACAGAGCGTTCATGTTCCTAGTGCTTCCTTATAGGTGCTTGTTGCAGGAGCTTGGGATGAGACTAGCCGGATGATTATGAGTGCCACTTCATTTCTCTAAGCAGTAGGCTATAGAGACTTTTGTTTAGGTTGGTTGTGGAGTTTTTTTTGGTGAGTTTATTTATTTTTTTTTAAATCTGAAAATTATTGTTACAAGTGTGTTGTCACACTTTTAAGTTGGGTTCAGATTCTATCATGGGATATATGTATACTCTCATACTCTGTGTCTTTAGCTTTATTTCTTCTCTTCTTCATAGCAATTCCATCAAATTCTCACAGTTCAGAACTGGCAAACCTTCAGGCAAATACAGGCATTCAGTTCCCTTGGTGGTAGGCAGGATGAATGAGATCGATGTAATTTTCAGAGCCTGTATGCCTGCCATTTTTGCCTGACCTATGTACTGGCAACCACAAGAAACCTTCACAACAAGTATCAAGTCTGAAGGGTCAGAACTATTCTTGTTCTTATTTCTGACTCCACTGGTTAACAAGTGACTTCCAGGTTGCTGATGCTGCTGCTCTCCTGGAGAATCAGCAACACAAGAGTTATGATACCAAGTTACTGTGTCATTTTATATGATCTTGCTCATTCTTTCTCCTGAAAGTTCAGTAATAGTGATCTTTAAAAACCAAAAAAACCCCACAACCCCATCACCCCACGATTTCCACCTCACTGACATAATTAATTTGATGACGTTGAATTTTCATTAGAACTTCTTCAGCAGAGTGACAGAGAATAGCTGTCAACTGGTGACTTTTTGACTGAGACGTATGAATTTGTTCTTTCAGCCTGGTTCATGGGAATGCAGATTTGTGGGAAGCTTTTGTGATCTTGTAAATAAAGCAGTCGTTTGGTGTAACAGCATTATATAGGTCCCCATCCCTTTCTTCAAGCGGTAGCCTGGTTGGTATGTGACCAGCTCACAAAAGGTCAGTGAAACTAAATTGCGCTCTCCTGCTCCCCAGGTTCCCTTTTTCAGGAAGGGCTCAGCTCCTGTGGTGCAGGAGCCTTTGTTACCCTCTCTCCACCTCGTAACAGAGGACCTCAGCAGGAGAAGTAATGACTCTTACTAGACCAGCTCATGTAGCTGGTGTGTCCTGAAGTCAAGCTTTAAGTTGAGCCTTTTCATCAGGTATCTCATACAGTGTCTCAGTTGAGAAGGAGGTTCTGGGCATGAAAACTTGATCCTTTTTCCAGCAGTATCAGCGCGTTTAGGAAAAGCAATTGCCCCTTAAAAGTCCTCTTTTTCTTTACATCCCTAAGCTTGTGGCAATACTGTTGCCCTAAAGAATGAAGAAAAGAAAGGCATTTACCATGCTGTTTCCCTTTTAACATATTCTGTTGATACATCAGTTACTCGAACGTTGTTTTTTTGTAATCAGTTCAAAAGTAGCTTTAGTTGTCACTGGTGTGATGTTAAGTTCTGTGTCAAGCTTTGTCTTGACAGCCAAGTAGAGTGGAACAGGCCACCTTTCGTCTTCCTGCCACTAGGTTGTACTCTTTCACCAAAGGGATGTTTAAAACCTCTGGCACTTGCAGAAATAAGAAGGGAACTGGATTTATTGCCTAAATATGTAGGAAGTGGATATGCTAAAAATACTTTGGAAGGAAAAAAAGCTTAATATGAGAGGTGAGGTTTTTTCCTCATAGATGCGTTGCAACAACTGAATAGTGATTTTTCAAGCTTAAAGAAGCACCTGCTGTTCAGCGATTTATTCTGAGGGCATGGGAGAAGGCAAAGGTGTTCCAGAAGAACTACGTGCCTAGGCGTGAAAGCACGTAAATTGTTTGGTACTGGGAGTGACATAAGTCAGGGAGGCTGGTCCAAAGGAGAGGCCTATTGAAAATCACACCCAAGGTAATACTAAAAGCTCACTGGAACTCGTGTAAGGTCACCCAAGTTTTATATTTACAGTTAGCACCAGGGAATGGCCCAGGCTGCAGTGATCAGCTTTGCTTTGTGCTTACTTAGTGGCCCAGGCAGTTTGCAGGGTTGTGGTCAGAAGAGAGAAATGTCTAGGGCAGCACTAGGAAGGGTATCGTGCAAAGGAACCTAGAAACAGGGAGAATAAAGAAGGGGAAAAAAGAGCTTCAGGACATTGCAGTGTTCTGTAGCAAACAGGGGAGCAGATCCTTCTCATGACAGTTTTTCTCAGATGTCATGTTTTGATCAGCCTCTGTTCAGTGATTCCCCTTTCTAGCTGTCAGAGAGAGAGGTGTACCAAAGCCTTCAGCTACCCTGGGTCTGGTGTGAGTGCTCTGCAGTTCTGGCTTTGTTTTGAAGCAACAAACACTAGTTTGGTGTATGAAGAGGAACCCAGCATGTTGTGGAGGTCAGTATCACGTTCCTCCGTTCCCTTCTGTCCCACTGATCTCAGAGACAGGGGTAAGGTATTGCCAAAGAAGACTTTTTCAGTGAACCTATTGGTGATGGGGAGCCAGGAAGTTCTAGGGCAATCTAAGGAGCTTCAAAAACTGAGGTGAGGAATTAGGACATAAGGCTGTTTTCTCTGATTCTGGGATGGAGCACAAACCTGAGACCAAAATTTCCAGTTCAGATCTTTACCTGGCATACTACACAGTCTTGGAAGAGTTAGCTCCGTCCATTTCCTCATCTAGACAATTCTTGAATTGTTTGCGCCAGCAACAGAGTGAATTCTGCTATGGGGGGAAAGATAAGGTGTTATTTTTAATCTCAGTTGTAATAATTTTGTCTCATTCTTTCTCATTTTACATATCTGAATCCTACACTTCTGACATCAGCAACTTCTGTCACTGACATCTGTGGGAGTAGGAGCTGACTGTCAGTGAACAATTCTTCCTCTGTGTTCTGGTGATGATTTATGATGTCAGATTTGCTCTGTAACCATGGCTTCTTCCCCCCTGCTGTTAGAATTATCTTTATCATGTTTACTTTTTTTTTTAACAAAGGTACTGCATTTGCTAAATATACTTCAATGTTTTTCTTAAAAGAAATGTTAAATAATATGAGCAAGTCTTACTGAATATGAGTCCTACATGTTGTGCTTATCCTAATTTTATTCCTTTGTCTTCCTCTTTTCACTTTGCTCCTGATTGGCATGTTAGAGAATTAAGAGGTACTGTATGCATGTTTCGGCATGGAAATATGGCTTTTGTTGTGCATCTGTAGAATGGGATTAGTGAAGGCGAGGGTTATTTAAAGGGATGTTCTATGTCAAATGCTTTCCTGACTCACTCTTACACTATATCAGCTTCTGAACAAAAATTTACTGATCTTTATGTCCTTCCGACTGTTATTCTTGGCTTTCCTTCCTTACCTCACAGTATCATGTTCGTCATTAAATTCAGTATCTAAGCAATATACAACTACTGCACTTCTACCTTGCAGAGCTGCATACAAGAAAACTCTTTTTTTTGTCTTTTTTTTTTTCTAAGTTTTTTTTGTAAACTTAACCAGGGAAATACTTGCTTGTGAATGGGTCCAGGTCTAAGAGAAGCACTGGTAATATGTTTCCACTTCCCCACATCATCTTTTTGCCTGTGATGACCTTCATAAGTGCCTATTGGACTGAGCTCTGGCATTTCAGTACGGGAAGATGAATTTAGAGCTGTTACATGCCGTACAGAGCATTATTATTAGAGTGACACCGATCCCAGGCTACATGTAGAACTGAAAATCTAGAAACACGCAAATGGTCAGGGCAAACCTAATACCCAAGTTTGGCGTTTCCCTCTGTACATGTGACCGTCAGAGGTAGGCTCAGATACCCCTGGCTGGCGCTTCTCAGCCTTCATTCCAAGCTGATGTGTGACATTGGTAGTTTTGTTCGGTGAAATGCATAAAGATGAGCCTAAAGTTTCACAGATACTCTGATGACTGTAGTTATACCTCACCTGCTTATGTGAACAAACTTCAGGATTTGCAGAAGCTCAGTGCTGTCCTCATATTTTTACGGTATGTTGTAATTTCTGAGACTTCTCTGAAACTCTCCTTTGCCCTAGTAAGTGCTGCTCAGGTACAGCTTTACCATCAAACCCTTCTAATGTAGAATAAACATATTTCAGTATGCTGTAGGATTCAGCACAGTTTTGGTGTCGACTGCACCGCCTTCTCAAGTTGTGAAGTCTTCTCTCTGGAGAAAGTGTTGTCCAGTAATGATCTTTCTCTTTTAAAGTATAGGCTTTGAATTCCCTCTACTGTCAAAACCAAACAGGTTGACTGTTCTTGCCTAGTGTGGGCTCTTGCCATAAATTGCTCAAGAAGCGGCCTCTTTGCGGTGACAAATGTGAATCAGTTAGCCCTTGGCTGCCTATAAATCTGCAATAGGTTGGTTTGGGTTGTTTTGGTGGGGTTTTTTGGTTCTTTGGAATACCATATACTGTGCAAGTGTGAAATCTGTTGTAAATGATGTAAATGCTATGAGTTCTTAGTAACCTGGAGAAAACTAAGCAGACATTTCCTTTGTGAGGTAGCCTGTTTAAAGTAAATGCAATCTGGTGTGCTCTTGTCAATTAAAGGAGATATTGAAGTGTCTCTTTAAAAGTAGTCAAGTTATTTAAGTATTTATTTAAAAATCGTCCCCTACCTATGTTCCTTGCATGATAAAAATCAGTTTAGGAAGAACCATGTGGCTGGGTTATAAACAAAGCTTTAGAAGAGAAAATGATACATGTTCATTAGAAAAGCGCCTTCTCCCTGCTGAAATGAGAAGGCACTTCTGCATTGCTTAAACATGAGTAAGTTGCAAAGAGTGCTCTGTCGTTGGAGATGGTCACTGCTGCTGGCACGGCAGCCTCTGAAAACTCTCAAGCTGTGATATCCCTGCTGTTTGTGAGATCTGTGTTCTTGTCAACTGGGAATATGGAAGTTATTGAAGTCACGACCCGGTTTAAAAATAAGAAATCCTATTTGGGTCATGTGGTTCACACGACATCTCAAAAGCATACGTGCTCTCATGCAGGGAGACCCTTTAATA